CCGCGCAATGTATTAGCCCCACCGACTCGCCAGCTACTCTCGTGTCGAGCATCAAGTGACGGTGTATGGCGCCATTGACGCTACGAGGACCTTCAAAAGTTCTCGTTCCAATTCCTCAACGCGGTCCAGAAGGTTCAGAAACGACGCGGTACATAATAAATCATAAGCTGTCATCTCAGCAATAAAATACTATGCACCAAGTTCTAGTAGACAACATTGGCAAAGTCTCACCACGGCGCAAGATGCTCAGAGGTATGCGTAGCGCCGTGAAATATCAATAACTTAAATGCATTCCATGTATAGATGTCCAATGCAGTCTCGCCTGCCCTTGTGCGACATTGACATCAGCGCTATGGTCCAACAGCGCAGTCACCGCCTCAATGGCAGTCGTCTCAAAAGCCAGCATGAGCTTCGACTGAAGTGAAGGTTGCGTAAATCCAGAGAACGACATACTTCTCCACCGACTCATCTGTGAAAGCTCTCTAGTACTCAGGCTCTGCGAATCGTACAGACGACAGGCATAGTGCAGCGATATGAACTCTTCTTCGTCGCTGCCATTGATATCTGCTCCGTGTCCGAGGAGTGCGCGTTCTACCGTAGTGCTCGATTCAGGGAAACGGTAAAGATGATGGAGAGGATTCTCTGATTCATTGTCGACCAGTCGAGGACCAGTGCCAGCATTCAGGAGCGCGATGACCATCTCGCGAAGCACAGTGCAGGTACGTCTCTCCATGCATATTTCGTGCATTGGCGTCGCTGTCTGCTTTCACGAGGTGCTCGATGAGAGTAACAATCTCACTGTGCCCTTCATGCATTCATGTCCTAAAGCATTTTGGGCTAGAAGTGCAGCGGGGAGTCCCCTAGTGAATCAAGGATATTCGGGTCCGCACCGTGCTTCAGAAGCGCGTGATGAGATGGGACTAGAGACGAGTAGTTGATGAAACTTGCCGCCAAGAAGGTGTTACACGAATTCGCATTGTACAACAGGCCTGTGGGCGAACTAGCGCCGTTGATAGTAAATTGGATTACCACAGGGTTTCAGTGAGTGAGTGTCCCCCTACGCCTCGCCTTATAATGCAGAGAATTAAAACTTCGAATCGAGTATGAAACACTCCACCTTCAGACCTGAAAATTTTGCTGGTCATCACGAATTAGAACTACTTGATTTCTGTCGAATTTTTACCAGAATAGCTACCCTCAGAATACCCTCCCGGGGAATGGCATTGCCAGCCGGGTGTCCCTATATCCTGTGTAATGTACAGAAGACTTCAAATTACGCAACTTTTCACCGAATATTTATCGTGCTGTGACTAGTAAGGAAACGACATTCATAACTCGCTGTAATCTACGTGTGTCTAGAGTTTGTACACTATGCAGTGGTTTTAAGGATCCTCGACAAAGACGAGCCTTTCTAGCTTATTACCCGCGTCGGCCCGATTAAGGAGTTGCAAGGATATCTTCGATTCCTTCTTCATCCTCTCCGACCAGTGGGCCGTCCACGTCTGGTCACCCCATCCATGCCATCCATCTGTCCGAATGTCTAAAAATTGAATATGAGCTAGTGGTTGAATGTATGAAGATTGACTTACCATGAATGCTATCGTACACTAGAGATGAGCGATCATGCTTGCAGATGTGACCGATGATGTCTTGTACTGTTTTCTTGGGGTCGAAGTTTTGGGCGTAGTAGCGACGGGGCACAACTGCCCTGACAATCAGCTCTCGCCACAACCACACCATGTGGTCGTCAAGGTGCGCCTCTGTATCATAAACCCTAGTGCCTGGTTGTCCGAATAATTCAACTGTAAGACGGCGATTGCACATTTGGTTGAATCTGGCATGAGTGATTAGCGCGGGGCGATGTACTGGTGTGCGGGACCTACGTTGTTTCGGACACGGCGCTTTCCACCGCTTGCAGCGCATCGGAGCAAGCATCAAGACACCAGTTAATGAGACCGAGATTAGCATCGCTGCTTGTCAAGAACCACCCAATTTCGGGTAGCCATTTGACTAACTCGGCGATGAGAGTTCGGGCGTTATCTTCTAGCTCCTGTTGTATCTGAGGAGTTGTAGGCCAGACCCTGCGAAGACCAGAAATGTGCAAGATGATGCGGTCCAACGAGGGCCTATGCTTCTCGAGGTCGAGTGTGGGGCTTGCGGTATAGCGCATGATGAATTGCGGACTTGGAAGGGGGGTAGTGTTGGGATTCTGGGGCATAATTTGCTTGATCCAGACATTTTATACCGTGTACATTGGTGGCAGAAATGATAGACGGACCAAGGAAAGTATGACCATGACCATTGTAAGATTTTCCAAAACCTGCTGCCACAGCAAATCAAAGCAAAAGAACAATGGCATGCCTATGGCATTTCATTGGGGAAATTAACGCGAGTCTATGCATACGAAAGACAATAGACCTAGAGTGATCATAAGTTTCTGCAGATCAAGATAGACTTGAAGATCAGTGATCTGAAAACGAACAAAAAGCGACAGCCTACCGGTACTTGTCGTCCGGCCTGTAGAGCCTTTGTTTTCAAGAACGTGAATACTTTTGTTTATCTGCTCGATACTGTTTAAGATGGGACGAAAAGAGCATTGACTGAAAAAGTTGTCATGGTGGAAGGAAAGTGCGTGATCGCGTCTGTGGCGTGAGAAAAAAACTCCTCGTTTCCTCAGTGTCGTCATTACAAGCTGGATGCTGGGACGTCTCAGCTCTACTATCCGTCGCCGTAGCGCTAAACGTACTGTTCCTACCTTGCACCAGTTTTCCTCGTCTTCTCCCGTTCATCCACACCGTACAGTCCGCGTTGGGAACCTCCCTGTGGGTTATAATGTCGCCCAAGTTGTTAAAGCTATCAAAGCCAACCCGATGGAGAAGATATTGACCAAGAAGGACCATCTACTCATCCGATTTTTTGACGACGCTGCCGCTGAGCGTTGCGTGGAGCGGTGCACGGATGCTAAGGGCCCTACGTTGACAATGGATGAGGATGGTTCACCGCGATTATCTGCTGAAATTGCCGCGGGTCTCGGCGCATTCAATCTCTCGCGGACATTTCGATTAGAAAACCTGCCTGCTGCTGCCACAGAAGACAGATTGAGGAAAAAGTTCGCCGCCATTGATGGGCTGGAGTCGCTGCACTGCGAGACGAACGTGTATGTCCGGTTTTTGGAAGTGAACCAGGCAATAGATGTGTGTATTTACCCTGACACTGTGCTTGGGCTTACACCATATTAGGCTGCAGCTATATTTTTGCGCAAGAGAGAGTTAGATAGTGATCTCAGAAACACTAGAGTGGTCTATATCAACGACAATGACAGCTACGACTTGCCGGACTGGTATACGGAAACCGAAGACGGCGGGCCAGTCCAACGCATAGTGACAGGTCAACAGTGCGAGCCTTGAAGTCAAGTCAGTTCATACGACAGTCGGTGCGCACCTTTGAGAAGGACCATCTATCGGTGTTATCCTTCCGTATCTTTCCGGTCACAATGAATGTACGCTGAATCACAACTATTCCAAGGTCATTCAGGATAACAATGCTAAGCAGAACATTGTCATGCGATTTCCTACAGTAGACTTGGCCCGTTCCTACGTCAACACTTATCAAGCAGAAGCGAGCAAATTAGATGTAGATCTTGCGCTGGAATATGATGATCGAACAGAATACATTACTCGTGGTATGGTTACTGCCCTAGCTTTGGGGGCTCGTAGGACGGTTCGCCTCGTCTTGTGTCAAAACCAGCTGAAACAGATAATCGAATACCACAAGATTTTCCGGCTGTTTGGAAGATTGCACACCATCAGACCTCAAGTCAGGTATGCTTTTCGTTCACTGCTTCCTGATGCAGTCCTTAATGAAGGTTCAAAATAGAGAAGAGACGGAGTCTTTGATTATTTATGTCGTTTTCGAGGATATACGTTCCGCCATGAAGTGTATTCTTGGATTGGCCAAGCCTGATAGGCCGGGCCTTGATACAGCATATCTGAAGGGCGCCAAGGTGAATTTCTTCGGCAGTCGAACCCTGGCGCCCGTCAGCGTGCTTTCGGTTGAACGAAAAAATTGCGTATCTGGACCTGTCTCAAGTTCAGAACCCTGTTGCGACGGCGTCGATTAGGAGGGCTGGTCGCATTGCCTACAGGGAGCATTGCGTGTATGAATGTCGAAGTGAATTACTCTACCGTGGTTCCGAAATGACAGGCCTTGGTTCGTACCTGGGTCACTACTATCATTCCTACCTCTAGCTGATGGTCACTTCCTCTATATCTTGATGCCAGTTTCAAATGGACCAAATACTCAAGGAACACCATTTTTACTACTGTCTGTTGTTGTTCTCCTCAGCGACCGCTAAGACTTGGGGCAGAATCCAGGACAACAGCCACTGGGGTACTAGAGACGTCAATTTCGATGACATGACTCCCTACAGGATACTCTTCTGGACTCACAGAGTTGGGTGTATATTGTGCTCCGGGAGCTCGATAGTGATTGGAGAATAGGCTGATACTCACTAAGCCTGCAGCTATTCCCCATACATCAATGTTCCGGAGCGCAAGCTGCAAAGAATCGAACAATCATGACTTTCAGTCTTAAAAGATACCTGTACTTCAGATTTTATCAAGAACTTCCCTAATAATTGAGCTCAAGATGTGTGGCTGCCTATGTATACATTGCTGATGAGTTTTGACAGCAACAAGTAAGGATAGACCGCTCAGCAGCAGTCAGGGTTCTTGGACTTAGAAGCTGATTCCTAACCCTATCCTGCTTCCTGAGTGAAGGTTTTCAGGATCTGGTACAGTGAGCATTTCGAAAGATCATAGGTAGCGGGTCGGTCACCACAGCTTCGCTGGCTAAGACAGGGAGCCGATAGACGTGGCCGCGATGCCGTAAAGCATCAGCTCTACCGGCATGTATCCGGCAGGGACGTTCTGTTCGGCTTGGCGCGGCCTGCTCCTCGGCAAAAGCCGATGCCGACCGCCATGCCGATCGGGCCGAAAAAGAACCCCTGGCGGGACTCGAACCCGCAGCCTCCAGATTTGAGTACAAGTCCCGTAGAAGTCTGACGTCATAACCATTAGACAACAAGGGCATAGTGTCTCTCTTGTATATTTCATTCCATGTAAACAAAACAAGGACTTCTTCGGGCCATGGCATTTTCAAATCTAGTAGCGCACCCATCAAAAATCTGCTACGGGATGAATACCTGGTCGCAGTTTAACCTGATATATCAGACACGATTCACTGCTGGGGTCGATACATTTTCCGAATGGAAAAAAGAGGCCTCAAAGTGTTGCGACATTTCATTTGATCTTCTAATGGTAAAAACGAGTTCAGGAAAACATGCTGAAAGGCGGGAACAATCACGTACTCCTTTAAGGTAAGGACAAGAACTCGAAAAACGGAATGGAAAAGGTGCTTCCCGCGGTCAGAACAAAGGAAACCGCTTTTCATTCGTAGAAAAGCAGTATTTTTGGCACGCGAAGGGAGCGCTAAATAGGACAAGTTTTTCATTGCGTTTTCCGTATCCCGTTTGTGCGGAATACAAAGGTTACGAAAAGTCACGACATTTTTAGAATACCTTTTTCCGCCCTGAAAAGGAACTGGCCCCAGCAGTGATTGGAGATGCAAACTAGTTTCAGTGGTATGCTCGAAATACTGTTAGATAAGACAGGCCAAGGCATTATGGAAGTAAGAACACAGCTCGAAAGGAACTCTCAAGGTCATGTAACATGAATGAAGAAACGAGTCAACGGTCACTGCGATTGCAGGTCCTGACCAGCATCTATCATGGCCTGCGACCAGTGTCCATCCCAAAATTCGTAGAGGTCTTGCCCTGAAACATGGTTATGAGTATAGAGAACGGGAGCCACACAAATGCGTATACGACTTACCAGGTTCACGAATACAATTTGCAACGGATTTCCCGTAACCGTACTCACCAATACGATTATTTATCAGAACCGTAATACCGGTGGCACCATTGTGAGCAACTGAAGAGACAATGAGATCCCTCCACATCCAAGCAATATGGCTCTCTATGTGCTCATCGACGTTATAGATATCGCAAACAGCCGTTTCCACTCTGAGATGACATGTCAAGTCGGAGAATCTGGTAGACGAATCAGTACCAGCACAAGCAGCGGAAAAAGTACCGACTTGTGTCGCGATAAGACGCCAGGCCCTTCTAGCGAACGTACAACTTGCGTGAACAACGAAAGGCAGTCATAAACCAACTTGATATCCGGACTTTCATTTATGAGGCACCGCCAGACGCAGGCCAGCCATCTGGTCACTTCGGCGGATGCCTTATCCCAGCTGTAAATACCATCCACGAATCCCCGAAGATAGCTGACACCAGAATAAGTCGACGCAACGTGCGTATTGTATTCAAAGCTCTCTAAATCAGCGGGTGGGTTTGGAGCCTTTTCCCTCGCAGCGGCGAGGAGTTTGTTGTGCACGGCTACCGAGTCCATCAGGGCATTCATCGTATCAGTGCGGTCCTCGTCGGATGGGCCTTTGGCAGCAGATAGGGCGGTGGAGGAGTCTTGGCTGACGCGTTCCGCCGACGCGACAAGATACCAGAGAGAAGTAGAGTTGTTTGAAGGGTAAGTTCGGGCCGGCATGGTGTGAGGTGCGAGATTGAAAATAGAGGAGCTTTAGCATTATTTATAAATGAAGAAGTTGTCGAGATGAAGGAGTGGCTAGTGGCGCCTTATGCCAAAGGAAAAGCCACAAAAGAACAAGACAAGGAAACAATAAAATCGCCGGAAAAGGGGGATACCTAGACAACAGTCAACATTTGCAGACAAAGGAAAGGGTGAGACGCACTGCTGCCTTGTCCAGGTCCGGCTCTATGGTCACCTAGCCATCGAGCCATCGCGTGAGCCACTTCATCCGTTGGGAAGGGAATCCCTTGTCCCATAAATCCCGGTTGATTAAGTGGTGTTTCCACGGCGCATTCCTCCTTCGTCGCAGCATAGCGAGCTCATATGCAAGGTACGGAGGAAGAGGCGGCCGCTGCGTGGCTTTAACATGAGCCTTCCAAGCAAAGATGCGGCAGCACCAACACATCCTGGGGAAACGGAAATGGCGGATCCTTTCATCGGCGCCCACTGATAAAGTACGTCGAAAAGGAGACTAAGACCACCTGATATCAGAAACCGTCAAATTTTTCTCCAGGGGAATTGCAAGTAGCGCGCTCGATCATTGCGCTCCCGTACTTTCCCGCAGCTCCCGGAACATCATCCGTATCCATCGAGCGCTCCGTACCAGCATCTTGATTTCTGAAGTTCGTATTATATCTTGTTCCCTGGAACTGCCTTTGAGATGGAAACCTATAGAGGGACTAGTAAAAGCATTGGGCGCCACATAACGAGATATTAGCAACGACATCCAGGAACTGAGGGAGGTACATGGTAAAACTTAAAATAAAGGACCAGGGTGAATGAGGATGACCGCCGTGTCTGGGCTCTCGCGTGACCGATCAGTAAGGGACAGGGCAACAGGATAGACGCCGGGCAGCTCATGATACGAGCATAGAGTGGAATAGAAAGTTCGTATAAGCGGGACAGGGCAGGGGATGGTAGGGCAGTATAAGCGTGTAAGTATATGCTTCCGTCAAGAACAGGACAGTAGCAGAGTCGCACGGCTGTAACGCGAACGGTATATGTACATATTTTGACAACTCCTCGTCCGTGATGATTCAGACGGCACTCGAGCAAGGAAGGGGACCGGTTTTCAGAACACAGGTAACACCGTGTATTCCGAAGGCACGGTCACTGTTCCTGATCAAATCTGGACATGACCGTGTCGAGCAGCCCGCCGAGATCCGAGAGGTAGAAACATTCGTGCCACGAGTCAATTGAAGCCTGTGACTTTGAAAGACACGGAATAAATATGGGCACTCCATGAAGATCTGTAAATGTTGCATCAGCTCCTTGAGAGAGCTGGACCAGGCCCCAAGGATATTCTGAAACTCGGAAAATAGGTCTCCGTCTGTTGAGTTGGGATCTTCCCTGCACCATACGGTTAATAACTACGGCTGAAGAAGACCCTGCCAAGACGCACGGAAAACAGACTGACGTCCTCGCTATATCACCGAAGCACTCAAACAAATTCATAAATGGGAGGCCAAGGTGGGTTCGGTCAATGCGAAGGTGAAGGGTTCTGTTGACGCCCAAACTATAAGCGGTGAGAAGCGCTGGGCCGACGAGTCGACGGTTGGTTCCCTCTTCCATTGAGACTGTGACGCTAAACTGTTCAGCCAAGGGCCCACCAAGCTATCAAAAAATCTTTGCGCGGTTGAACTTGTCGACATCTGGAAGGTTACTAGCCCTGTGAATATACGTGATCAGATCGCATAGTATTGCCTTGGGGATATTTCGCTAGTTCAAATCGAGCAAGAGTTACCGAATCGACGTCGAACTCGATAACGGCATTACGACACCGGAGGTATGTGCGCGCATCCGCGATATTTCGGATGATGACAGTGCGGAGTGGATAGAGGTCTCTTTCCTTCGTGTATCAACGAGGATACATGTATGCTTCGTCCAAAAGGTCGCCTGCGAACGACACACGAGCACCTCCGATCGTGATTGAGACCTTGAGGATAGGCAGATAGTCTCTCCCTGAAATTATACCCACACGTCCTGTTTTATGTATGTCCAGAAAACGGACATGTACACAAGACTCTTCTTCATCTATCCTTGTAGAATGCATGGTGTACGGCTGGGAGAACTCCGTGATGTTTCCCACTTTGACAGTACTAGATGAAATATCTTGGATCTTGAGGTACCGAGTCATCGAAATTGGCTATGGCGTAGGAGGATATTGGGTGGCACGGAGTCTTTCAAGTGTTAGAGCCGTACCCTGTCCGCCATTATGCGTCTCAATGTAGAGATTGACCATATCTGGTGGTCCAGCATAGTACGGTCTGCTCGAGGTTCTATCTTCTTCACCGGCTTCCCTGCAAAAAATCATCTATAGCACCAAGATCAAGTCTAAGCTACTGAGGGATGGTGTCGACGCGAACGACGCGTCGAAAAGAAGGTTAGCCAGTGGAGCGGTCGATAGATATCGAGAGAGAACACAGCGACGACGACAGAGGGCACGTCCCAGCCCGAGCATGACGGAGTATGAATGAAAAAAAAAGTTAGCTCGGCAGCCCGGACCGGTAGTGACGCCGGCAAAAGTTTACTTGGACAGGTATTGTTGCGCTTTGGCATTACAATGGCATCGGCGTCCACAATAATGGTTACTGGTTACCCACCCGACTATATAAGGACTGCGGCTTCACTGAAGGGCACCCTACAGTTTTCTGCCATGCAGGTCATCGACACGACCGCCGTTTCTGCCGTCGTTTCGTTCCTCACCGACGTCCTTGCTCCCCTTTGCTCGTCTCGGGTTGTAGACAAGTTGCGATGCCTGCTTAAAAAATCTCTGCAAGCGCGTACGGTCTCTTTCACTGTCACCGTATAGGCCCCCTCCACGACCACTTCACGATGCCTGCATGACCACCGGCCTGCCCTGGCCCTACTGGATCCTTTTGCTCGGGAACCAGGATATCCACATAACCATCACGTCCCTTCATGTCAAGGCCCAGATTGCAGCTCACACAGTCGCTCTTTGGGACGCTGATACTGACCTGTATCCATCGAATAGTCCGTTTCATCGCTGGGAAACAGTCTGTTGACCCACGCACTCGTATTCTCATGCCCATCCATGTACCCGCTCCTCCTGACCTCGCCCCAGTCGATAGCGACTCGGACTCGGATACAGAATCCACGTCATCTTATTTTTCTGACGTATCGCTGTCTTCTGTGACAAGTGTATCATCTGCAGCCTCGCAGTCGACGCCTTACCTCCACCGCCCCAAACGACTTCATATCCGGGAGTTTTGTTACGGAAGGCGTCAGGCTCGCTGCACCATTCATCGCCAAAAAGGCTCGGCCAAGAGGATAGTCGGGGTTTGAAGGACTTTGGACATTTTATTCTTACTTTAAATGGACTCAGGACTCTTAGGACTTACCGTTTCGGACTTCTCCAGGACTTTTTTCGTATTCAATGTCATGACCTTTTGTAGCCATATTC